GTACAATTAAACATTAATTAAAGTTGATATTAGGGCCATGCCATAGCTCAGGCGCTTAGTGGCTGGCTTCCCTCCGCGGCGGCACGACTTCGAGCCCTGGTCAGGTCATGTGAGATTTGTGGTGGACAAAGTGACACTGGGGCAGGTTTTCTCCAAGTACTTCGGTTTCCCCTGCCAATTCGCATTCCACCGATTGCTCCACAATCATCATCATCTGGGGCTGGTACAACAGGCCAGAAGTGGCCGCAGTGCCAAGTGCGCTCAAGTCTCACCCATGAGAATAAAAAAAAACTGATATTAAAAGTAATAACTAGAAGTTAATTATGATCAAGTCAAGGAAGGTGAGATGGGCAGGGCATGTAGCACGAATGGGGAAGAAGAGGAATTCATACAGAATATTGATGGGAAAGCCAGAAGGAAAGAGACCACTAGGAAGGCCAAGAAGTATATGGGTGGACTATTAAAATGGATCTTAGAGAGAAAGGATGGGCTGGAATGGATTGATCTGGCTCAGGACTGGGACCAGGGCTCTTGTGAACACGGTAATAAACCTTTGGGTTTCATAAAATGCTGGAAAGTTCTTGAGTGGCTGCACAATTGGCGGCTTCTCAAGAAGGGCTCAGCTACGTGAATGAGTGAACCAAAAGTTAATTAAGAATTGAAGGTGAATGTTAAAATTCATGTTCATATCACACGCAAGTGGTCCACTTCATCGTCGTATGCAGGTTTCAGGTGCATCTGTATTAGATTATTCTCTTGTGTTTACCGGGTAAGTGCAGGAGCTGGTGTGAAGGCTTTCCGTGTTCATCCACCAGCTACAGATAATATGAAGACTTGTTGTATTCTTCCAATCTTGCGATGGAAAGCGCGTACAACTTTTTACTCCCTCATATGTTTCACGATCTAGTTCAAACAGAACGCTACTACACTGCCACCTCAAAAACATATATGCCTATTCGGCATCAACCTCCTATTTAAATTTGATAATCCTAGACATTTTAATTCACCAACATATATAAAACAAGGAATTACTTACTGAAACAATACACAGAATAACTTTGCAGTACAAATTTTCTATTACAGCATGTAGATTTTATACTTAATGGTTTGATCGAAACTTAGTCAAAACAACAATTTTATTGTAAGTTGCTCTCAAAAGTCTTCATTATTCCATCGCACCTCAGAGAATGCCTACCTGGACCACACAACGACGTATCTAGCACAGATAGGCCTGATAACTTTATGGCGAATGAAAAGTCTTGTGAACTTAGAGATTACTATCAGAAATACATTTCTTGCCCTCTTGCTGCCATTCGGATAGCCAAGCCAGTATAGCGACGGGCGATGGGCTGGAAGGCCGGAGTTTGATTTCCGGCAGGGACAACAGATACTTGTTTCTATTCCACAGCGTCCAGACCGCCCCTGGCACCAACTCAGCCTTCTATCCAAACAGTGCTGGAGGGTACAGCGGCCGAAGCGTGAAGCTGACAACTCACCACCATCCCGTGACTGGGTCAAGAATGGTGGAGCTATACCTCCATCTTCATGGCGATGTGCTTAACTAATTACGCACATGGCCACCTTTACCTTGCTGTGGACATTGCAGGCCTACCAACTTCTCTCTTCGTTGGTCGTAGAACGGGTGTACACACGGGCAACTCAGCAAGTGCAAGGTACTACTAACAAGGACACGGACGCCATGTTGTTTCATCCAACCAGTTTATTCACTTGGTTTCATGTTCCACTTAACTAGGCCTATCTCTACTTCCATCTCCGCTTATGGAGTCTACACGCCCAGTGGATAGAAGCAGGAGAACACGAAAAATATACAGAAAACGATGTTCCATTAAGGACCTAGAATTCACGGTACTAGGCAAGCCAGAACTGAAGTGGATCCGTATCATTTTGTTACACTGGGAAGTATATGGCCAGGCCTAATTCATGGCGACGCTACGACTGACTGTGTAAATGGTGATGCTATTTCAGACTCATCTAAAGTTTGTAAAACGTCTAGGTTTGCGTACCTAGGATTTCATATCTGGAGTTGATGTGAAACTACATTTCCTTATGCCAATAAAATAGGCTACGCTGGTGGTATGAAATTTGCCATGAAGAAAAAATACTTGTTCAATGCCGTCTAAGATTGGTTCTGGCATTCGATAATATAACAATATTGGTGTTTTATACAGAGATGTCATTATTATTTAAGTAGCTGAAGGATTTGTGGTGTTAACGCTCGAAACACAGACCTATATTCCCACGAGCACAATTTCGATGCAGGGTTTGGTGAACAGAGTCTCACAGGATAGAGATCTCCTTACAACTGGCAGAACACAAACCGCGTCCCAATACTTACGCTGCCTGCAGTAACGAATTCTGTTTACTTTATGTTATCTCGGTATAAGAAAATACGTAACATACACGGAAGGGATATGGAACCTAGGGCAAATTCGACTGTGGTCCAACGGGTCAAAACTTAAATTAATAAAGGGTATACGTTCTTTCATAAAGAAAAAAAAAAGACTTCAACTATAGCTATTTCTACCAACATCATTGTTTTTCCGAGTCTGATGGGTACAAACTATAACCGAGACAGGCCGTGGACACCCATACGGTTCTGAGACGTCGTGGCTCCCACATTTTCTAGACAATCGGCTCACAGATGGCGGTGAAGCTGTCAGCCTTACGCACCGGCTGTCCTTTGCCCCCAGGAAGATTCCTAGTACTCATTTCTGTTAGAGGCTGAGCCGACCCCAGGGCTATGTTGCGGCTGGAAGGATCAGGTCAACTGAAAAATCCAATGAGCTCTTCCAGACTCGAACCCGCGACCTTTCGGCTCGTACCATAGTGCCTCAACCAAATACGCTACCGCGTCCTCCCGAGTTTGATACGACAATTACTAAGCCAGTTGTATAAACAGCAACGCAAAATACGCATATTAATTTTGAATTAAAAGAAAAGATTTACCTGTTTCCTTAAATGCTTCAACGTGCATAAGGAACTGTTAAAATCTACACGCACGCAACCCAATACGTTATATATTTTCAACACCAGCCTCTGAACTTTTACTACCAACAGACGGCTTCAGGCAACAGAAAAGTGATTCATGTATGTCTTCAGCAACAGTCATGTTTTTAACATATTAAAACATAATACTTAGCAGCTGCTATGGCGTCCTCGATTTCCTGCCCGTTTGGAACACACAGACCTACCGACTAATTTGTGTTCCAATTCATGGAGAATACGTTCACCTACGAGCCGCCACTGTTATACTGTTATGTATAACGACATTCAGTATATTTTAGGCTTATGTAAGCCTATACCGGGCCTAATTGTTCTCGATGAACATAAATCTGCCAGGTCTGGATTTTTTTTGTACAAATTACTCAAAATCAAAAGCTTCTCTTCCGAGGTTTGTGTAACGAGATTTTGTAATTTTACTCAAACTACTGCAAAAAAAAAAATGCGGCGGACATTATCCTTTTTTTTTCACTCTCTCGTGATATTCTCAAACTCTGCATATGCATACCCACATAAATGGTTCATAATATCATTAAATGACAAAGATAAATAATTAGGACTGAAAAGTGTAAAATTAATTGGTCACGGGGGCACACATGGACTTAAAGACTGGCCTATCATTATTTTGGTAATAGAGGGATCTTACCATTAACAAACTCCAGTACAAATTATTAAATTTGAATAATTCACTATGAGAGTGATGACTTTAAACAACCAAGGCTCCACTTAAAACCATTTTAGGTTTATCAATAAGTCTGCGTCACTGCTGTTTACAAAGCAATTAATTCATAAAAAATATAAGGCGCAACATTAGCCTACATAATCTAATGTCATCCTCTCAAGACGTTAATGAACTCAAGTTCGTTACTGCACGTAACCCGTCGGCCTACCCAAACTCGTGGAAAAAACTTCGCATCGCTATGCACAACAGGTGCAGCACGGGAACGCTGATTTCACGAGACCAGAGAAGGCAAAAACGGAACAGTAAACGCCAGTGCTAAATGATTAAGCCACTTCGTTTCGTGTTTCTACGCGACACACAATGTTTTGAATTTATTTATTAATGTGTATAATATTCGTGTCGTAGGACTTCTATTCTCACAGCATTGGTCATAAAGAGTTCTACGAGTATCTCCAGGGATAAAACGCCGTGTATTGTCCGAAACGCGAGATAAATTCCAGGGGACTACACAGCGTTATATTGCCCTGAAGACAAAACTTCATGCAGTAATTCACCATTTTTGTGTACCCCACTGTAGCATAAAACACATTTTGTGTGCTTGTGTGTTCACCTATTACAGCTACTACATGGGTAATCTAATGGCTTAAAATGTAGCAGTGTTCAGTCCGAATTTCTATACGAGTCGATATTAAGGAGAATACTGATTACAGCAGCTGCGTTATCTTACTACGTAGCAATATGAACGATAGCCCTGGTGTGCACCCCGAACAACAAAATACCCCAGCGCAATAACAACCAGAATTTAAAACATTATGTACACTTTTAAAATGCTATTTTGATATTAGCAATTCCAGTCATACTCAACATTTCAATGCCAGAAAACAAAACCAAATTGCCGCACGTTTCTATGACAATAAAAAGCACGAAACCAAACAGAACTCAGACAGCATCTTTCTCAAGAAATTAACCAAACTCAAGCACAATTCACGGTACGAAATACGAAGAAATGTAAATAGGGAATGGTAACTACAACTTTTGTTCTGGTAGCAGCATTTTTACGACAGCAGTAAATTCACATTCGTGTTCCGGTCGGAAATAAGTACCGTACATGTATAATACAGTAATGTGGAGCTAAAATATTTCTCATTCGGCAACAAATACACAACCGTATAAAGTAATTTTTGGTAGCTCGCAATCTCGTTTATACACCTTCCACAATATACAAATACTTTAAACTTTGTTTTTAATTAATAACGTGTTTTAAATCAACATTTAATGAATGATATTTTACACTCACCTGTTACTGCGAAAGTGTTATCCCGTCATGCCGCCGAAATTATGCAGAATACTGTAACAATGAAATCCTCAGCAGCGTCTATATGTTAACAAGATATAATGGCGTACACTATAAAACACATTCACAGAGTTAACCCACACAACACTTCTCACTCGTTTTCTATGCAAAGCATTGTTGACATGGCATCTCAAAATGGCTCCACAAACTGATGTGTAACGCACACAAGACTATGTAAAGCACAAAGTACTGCACAGTTTCAACGCTGGATGAAACTTACTGGGACGAAATGGTTAACTTCAATATAGAACTAAGCATACGTGGCAGGTTCTTCGAAACGACCTATCAACAAGAAACGAAACAAACATTTAAGCATTACGATAGTAAAGTGCAACACGAAAGCTAAACACACGAAGCTCTGCAATTCTGGAAGTCACAAATGAAACTATGTATCTAACTAGGGTTCACAATTATTTCATGTCACAAGCACACATCATTTTTTGAACCTCTCGAATGCAAACAGAACCTGTAAATTGGAGTTTAATTTTTTTACGTTCAGAGGACCTGAATCAGTCAATGGACTACTTCAACAGTAATATTTTCGAGTTTTACATTCCATTACGTCGTTGTGGGAAACGAAGATTCACGATACACCGTAAATAAATTCATACCAGCTGGCTTTCTCGCACGAGTCCGCTCTCTCTCGTAATAACACCAACACAAAACTTTCAAGGTTATAAAGCAGACACACGGCCCGTTTAGAACAGATTTGTCACACTACGAGGCACCGATTACTGTTCACTAAATCCAAATTGAACAATACACGCAGGCGCCATTAGCGGAAGAAACATACACGAAAGCAGCTTTCAGCGCAGATACCTTCCTTCCCTACCCTCGATGGCCGGGGCACACAGAAGTCCAGTCTGTCCGAAGAATGGATGCTTTGCAGTTATCCTGTTCGGAAGACAGATGTAAACAACACAATATCACTTTCCGCAAATGATAAAGTAATTAGAAAATCTCAGCTGAAGACATCCGCAGCTGCATTAAATAATACGATGCAGCAGGTCCGCGATATACAGACGAAATCACCGACACCACTAACACGTACGTCTCGCTCTCTCGGAATGGCAGGACCAGGCAGGAGAAACGCGCTATGACAAAGGCGCAGCGCAGGGGGAGAAGTGAAATCAACTCTGAGCTGCTTCACGTGATACAAAATTGCGTGGATGGTGGGAACGGACAGACAGGTCTGATAGCTATAGTCACGTGCTGTGTTTGATGCGATTTCCTTTCCAATGCTAATTTGTTCTTTAGTCGCTGGTAATACTGAAAATTCATTAGGTCCTTCCTTTAAGTATTTAACACGGGAAACTTACAGACTGAAAAGGCTGGTCAAGCGGTAAACGGTCTGAACTCGTGCTTGGCAAGTGTTTGGTTCGAACTTTGGCCAGGACATAGGATATCCTGAGTGTTTTCGTGATTTTTCTCAGTCTCTCTGGGCTAGTATCTCAACTGGGGCACGATTACTTCCAATTTTTTTTTATCGCCTATTCTACCATTCTGTACTATTTAGCCTAGTTACTGACAGCGTTTAAAAAAAACTACCCTTGTAACAGGCCGTGGAGGCCCATAGAAGCGTGAGACGTCGAGACTCACAAATTTTCTAGAAAATCGGCTCACAGATGACGGTGAAATTGTCAGTCTTGCGCGCCGGCCGTCCTTTTCTGTCAGCAAAATTCATGGTACTCATTTCTGTTAGAGGGTGAGTCGACCCCAGGGCCATACTGAGGCTGGAAAGATGAGGTCAATTGAAAAATCCAATGACCTCATCGGGAATTGAACCCGTGACCTTTCGACTTGTAGCATAGTGTCTCAACCAAATACGCTAACGCGTGCCCCTGACAACGCCGTAAAATATCCTAAAAAGAACCTGACACATTGAAGAATCACAATTTATCACTCGAACTTAAAAATCTTTCAGAGCACGAAAATTTACGTGACGCAGCTGCTGGTCTGAACACGGCTGTCGCCAGGCCCAGCGTGCGTGTTCTCACCGTGGTACCGTGGCGACATTTCCACGGATCACAAAACACTGGAAATTTGTGGAAATAAAAACGGGGATAAGTGTCCACCCTTTACATGTCACTTGGCTCTTTGTATACGAGAAATACTGGGTCCGACCACTTGTTGGCAATGCGATCCTGCACGATCTGTGATATTTCCACTTTTTTCCGTGACGCGAACAGGAATAATCTCAAAACAGTGAAAACTCGCCCGAATTGTGCATGAAAAAAAAAAATAAAAGATTATTTAATTTCGATATGACAGGATGTTATGAAAACTTATTCAATAACATTGCCATAAGTAGGAAAATGTAATATTTTACTACTACGTACATACAGGTACTGTCATACACCAGCGTGGAACTGACGCGAAAACTACTGCGAAATCAAATAACACATATAGAAGGGGAGTGAACAGACTGTTAGTACCTGCTCACGCTGGTCCTCTTGCGGATTTCTTCTTTTTTTTCTTTTTCTTCTACCCTGAAGATGGAGGCGATACGTTATTCCGAAACATCGGTTAACACAATATCTACACAGCGCCATATCCCAGAAGACTGCTTTCTTCATGGTCACCGCTGTGAAAACCTCAAATATTACAAAAATAATTATTCTAATCATATTATACGCTAGGCAATAGGCCGCGCCATAGCTCAAGCGGTTAGTCGCTGGCTTCCCACCGCGGCAGCCCGGGTTCGATCCCGGGTCTGGTCAAGTGGGATTTGTGGTGGACAAAGTGGTGCTGGGGCAGGTTTTCTTCGAGTACTTCTGTTTCCCCTGCCAATCTTCATTCCACCAATTGCTTCACAATCACCCTCACCTATCAACTGGGGCTGGTACAATAGGCCAGAAGTGGCCGCAGTAAAAGGGACTTAGTCCCACCCCACTATCAATAAAAAAAATAATACAAGCTCGCTTTACCTGCTACCAAACGTGTACGTTAAATATAGCAAAAGGCCAAGATCTGCAGGGATGAGCTTAACTATAAGAAAGAGCCTAAGGGAGGGTCTCTACTATCGAGGCGTGGAACAGCAACCGGTCCATGCTGCAAGGAACATAAGCGCCCAGAACGAAATATATTTACTACAGGGGTGGAAACAAGGTCCTGCAGAAAGCAATTCAGTCAGAGCCGCAGGGGTGTTTGGATTTTAAACACTGCAAGCAATATTTCATATTTCATTTAGAGGTAGCTTACTGTTCTAGCTTCGTACCACATGCTTAGTTCCAGTACTTGGAGCCGGGATAGCGACTTGCTACGGACTGGACAACCGAGGGGTAGGAGTTCGAGTCCCGGTAAGATCAAGAATTTTCTCTTTTCCACGTCGTCCAAATCGGCCCTGGGGTCCACGCAACCTCCTATCCAATGAGTGGCGGGGGCTCTTTCTCCGGGGGTAAAGTGGCCGAGGCGTGAAACTGAACACTAACCTCCAGCTAGTGTCGAGGTCAAGAAAATGTGGATCTATATAGCCACAACAGAGGCTGGTTTCAGTACGAGTAATCGAAATGGCGACCTGAATGACGAGAGTAATACCGAAGAATAGTGTTCTGTTGTGCGCTTCTTTGGGTGGAGGGGGGGGAAGGACTCAATTAAAATGATAGTCATAAATAAATGGTCCTTCTTTACGGTGGCAAGTGTCTGTCGGTAAAGAGGTTCACAACTGGGTCGACAAATTCTCTCAGGGACTTTCGAATATCTCAGACGATGCCCAATCAGGCCGCCTTATTGAGAGTGAGATCGAAGCAAAACTTCTATGCTGCGTGTTTCGACGCACTGGTAAAGCGATGGGGCATGTGTATCAATGTTGGTGGAGGATATGTCGAGAAACAAATGTTTTTTCCAGGTTCGAATATCACGTTTTATATCCGTTTGTGACCTATTTTCTGACTCCCCTTCATACGCATCAGGAGTGAAGCGCTACTAAACTTACTCTTTTACTCTTAGCAATGCACAGTTTATTTAGCTCCTTGTGCTTATGATCTGGGGCAGCCTGAGGAAAGTTCCACCTTTATTCAGGATCACCTGACATTTTGTTCATTTTCTAAAATTTGTTCGTCTCTGATGTAAGGTAAAGCAAATTTATCCTTGGGCTTAATTAATTAAGCACTACGCCATGAAGACGTATAGTAATGTGGAGGTACACCTCCACCATTCATGACCTCAGCACTAGATGGAAGTGAATGGTCAGTTTCACGCTCTTGCCGCTCTCTCTCCGGAGAACCAGTCCTCGGTATCCATTGTACAGGAGACTGAGTGCACAAAAGGAAGATCTCTTTCCCCTGCTAAGGATCGAACCCCGGCTGTACGGTCACTGTACCGAATGAAATATCCCGGCTCCCCTTCTCTGATGTAGGCCTCCTAATGTCTTAAATTTCACTCTACGGCCACTGGATTGCTCTGCCCATTGAACCCCCCCCCCCTACAGATGGTGGGAATGAACCCTTTACAGTAGAAATCATCTAGACGTAAAAATACTCAGACTTTTCTGTTGTAATTGCTGAAGTAAAGTGCGTTATCAGTTCATACTGACGCTTCGATTTCTAACGAGGTAAAAGTAAAGTTGTCCCTGTACTTAAATAATTCAGCACCACACTATAGAGACGTGTCAAGAAGTAAAGATATAGCTCCACTCGATCTTAAGCCCGGTCATAGATGGAAATGAGTGATCAGCTTCACGCCCCGGCCGTGTTACCCACGGGGACAGTGCAACTGCACCCGTTGCTTAGGAGGCCGGGAGGTCCCAAAATCGGTCTCAACGTTGTGGGGAAGATAGAAATCCCTTGCTTTTGCCAGGAATCGAGCCCCGATCCCTCGACTCTGTTGTCCGTAGCCTATCGCCATATCGACTGAGCTATATGGCATGAAACGAAAAGACTCTAAAAATTTACTTGAATTTGAATTTATACAAAAAAATTTTTGTAGGATTTGAGGTTCTCACAACGGTGCTTATGAAGTGATTCTATCTTCTGGGATATAACACAGTGTGTAAGGTGAAAGTCAACCGACGTTTCGGAGGAACATGTCACCAGAAACCAGAACAAGCAGGAAGCAAGCCCAACAGATTATTGACATTTCTTCCGTACCAGCCATAATTATTCTGTTCTCATGAAACGGTTTCCTTGCAATTTGAAATTAGTAACAACTTTGTAATATCATTTCAATCTATTGCGGAGGTTAGGACTGATGGAGCTATACCTGCACTGCATCATATATCTTCATGATATAGTGCTAAACTATTCAAGCCTAGGGATATATTTACCCTTTCAACAGTTTTGTAAAAGGATAAATCATCATATATGCATTTCCATAGACGATATATTATGAAGTATGTGTAATTACGCCGGTCACGGTAGCCCAGCGGTCTAAGGCATGTACTGTCTTCGCTCGCTTGGAAACCGGGATCGTGGGTTTGAATTCCACACAGGACATGGATGTTTAGTTTGTGCGTGTGCGTTTCTCTGTGTTTGTGTACAGGTAGAGGCCTTGCGACGAGCTGATCACCCGCCCAAGGAGTCCTACCGAATATGTAAGATCTAGAAAAACCGAAGTGAACAGAGAAGTTCATGGAGGTAGGCCTAGGCCCACTGGGGCTGTAGTGCCAAGGGGAAAAAGATGTGTAATTACGTTTAGGCTTGTGTGTGTGTGCGCAACTTCATCAACAACAGCTTCGTCGTCTTATTATTATTATTATTGTTATTATTATCATCATCAAGGAGCCGGGATAGAGCAGTCGGTATAGCGACTGGCTAGGGGCTGGGCGACCGAAGGGTCGGAGTTCGAGTCCGGCGGGGGCAAGAATTTTCTCTTCTCCAAGTCGTCCAAACTGGATCTCGGTTTCACCCAACCTCTTATCCAATGGGTAACGGGGGCTCTTTCTCCAGCGGTAAAGCGGCAGGGGCGTGAAGCTGACCACTCACCTCAAACTAATGCCGAGGTCAAGAAAAATGGATCTATACTTCCACTCCTCCATACGCTTTCATGGCGTAGTGATTAATTAGCTAAGCACAGAGACAACTTTTTTTTTGCACTGGCGCTACAGCCCTCATT